CATTTATACGATAATATGTTTCATCATATTTGAATTCTTTAATTTTTAATCTGATCGTTAAAACTGAATATAATGTAATATTTTTGCCTCTAGATCGGCTAAGTCGAGCCAGAATAAATGTTTTATTTTATATATATGGCCATGTAATCTCTGCCTAACTTTCTCCACTTAGGATTAACTCAATGGAGGCATCCTAACGTACTTATTTTTCCTAATTTGCTTATAATTATATTAATTGTATTTATTTATAATCTTTGTTTTTGTATCTTTTTCATTTGTTTATTTTAATTATTTTATTTAATTTTTATTTTGTTTATACGTCACACATTAGCTTGTCGGATATATATTCTGATTGCTAATTATAATTTAAAAAAAATTAAAGTAAGTAAAGTGAGTAAAGAGTGTTAAATATAGGTACTTCGGCAATTATGGAATTAACGGCATATCTTCATAAAAAAAATTATTTTCTCATAAATTACAATCTGTCTCAATAGAAAGACATTAAGTAATTAGTTTAACAAATTTTAACAGGAAAACCCAGTGTTTCACCTTTTATTAATGTACTAAATTATATCTTAATTAATTTTTGGTATAATAAAGAAAAATGAAAAATATAAGCATGTTTTTCATCTTGCCTTTGGTTTTCGTTCCAAAATTTGATACTTATGAATACACTAATAATACTACGCTGAAACACTGAATTCACTTTTGGTAAAAACGTTCAATCAAATAAATTAAACCTCCAGCTAATTTAAAAAATATTATGGAGTTCGGTGGGTTTTTGTTTAATACCATCATACATCGAATCACTGGATTGACATTTGAATTCGATATAAATCGAAAAAAAGCATTTATTTTTTTATTTTTTATTTTTATTTTAACTATGTTTTATTTAGCAATCAGACATACATAAAGATTCCTATGAGCTGAATTGACAATATTTAAGGGCGATGCCTAAGAAGAACATCAATGAGATCTTCTTAGTTTAACAAATTATATGATAATATTATATTAGAGCTCATCTAATACTAAGTCTAAAGGCCAGTTGTTGTGAAAAAATATTTGATAAAAATTATTAATATCCAATGTAAATACATATATGTAGATATAAAGTTGGTACAAATAGATCAATTTTTATTTGCAAAATATAAATGAAATGATTTAATAATTATAAATATTTTTATAATATTTAACTATTCAAACATAAAATAAAGTTTTAAAGAATTAAACATAAATAATAAGCTGACGGGATTTGAACCCGATCATTTTTAACATTTTCGTCTATGAATCCGAATGCAAAAAACAGGATCAAGGACTTTAACTGATAGAGACCTATTGATGAAAAACACACATTGCGCGTATTTTATAATTAAACCACTTCTCATAAGCCTATAGTATTTTAAGGTGTTCGGTTTGACTATAAACTCTATCACCGTGCGAAGTTTCATCAAAATCCCAGAAGGTTTGAGACTCTCTTTTAAGTACTAAAAATAATTTGCTGAAGCTTCATAATAGAATATGAACAGATAATAAATAAATAAGTTTTTATTTAATATTTTTAATTGAATAGAAATTCAAAGAGTTCAATTGCTTCATTTTTTATTCTATATTTACGAATCAAAAATAAATAGTTTCACGCTATGCAGAAAGTAGAATAATGTTCATTTTACTTTTTAATTAGAAAGGTAGAATCATCAACATAATTTCAACAATCTTCGTGCATTTCATCGACTTCAAATTTCTCTCTATTTATTAATTATATTCATCCAATATTTCTGTTTGAACTGGGATGTCCCGAGGCGCATTAACGACTAGTTTAAATAATCATATGTCAATGGTATATCATAAGAAATACTGAAATGTATAATTTTAACTATAACTGTATGTCTGCATCATTATATTCCTCCTTGTTTTCTGCACAAACATAAATCGTAGTAGAGAGAATGCATATTTAACACGACACCGCGCGAACTTTCGACATTTTGCCACGGCCCACTTGCAGACGTCGTGATATTGACACACTACGAGGTCGTTTATGCAAACATCATATGCTCGTCTAACCTAACCGATCGATCAATTTTTATTACTCATGTTTGCCCGTGAGATATAGCCATCTGCCTGTAATAGACTAGCAAACTATCTAATGTGTGTGCAGACATCTAAGATGTTTTGGCTGGGCAGAAATAACTGAAAATTTCTACTCGTGCAAACAAGTGCTAACAAAGAAAACAAACGTTAAGAGGATGTCTATGGATTGAATTAAAATTTATGTCAGGGTACGTGTACTCTTATTGTATTGGGGGATGATTATAATTTGGGATCGTAGACTGTTTGTCTTTAATAAAATTCACTTTACTTGTAAATAAAGTATTTCTGTGTCACTAATCATAGTAACGAGAGCAAATCTTGCCATATTACATTTTCTTTAAACAAACTAAGATGTCCTGAAGTTTACTTCAATGGCCAGAAAATTCCATTAGCTGAAAATGTTAAATATCTGGGAATATATTTGGATCGAAAACTTTCACACATTATTTTTTTCACATTATGGCTAAAATAAAAAAAATCAAACAGAAAATTGCAGACCTGAATTGGCTAATGAGGCGCAAATCAATCCTATCGCTTGACAACAAGCTACTGATATATAAATCTGTAATAAAGCCCATCTGGACCTACGGTATAAAGCTTTGGGGTTGCGCCAGCATGTCCAACATAGTTTTAATGCAACGGATGCAATCCAAAATCTTAAGGCAGATCACCGACGCACCTTGGTATGTAAGTAATAAAATCATCAATGACGACCTCAATATTCCTTTTATTAAGGATGTAATTAGTAGCAGAAGTTGAATCCATCATTCCAAGCTAGAAAACCATCCAAATCATCTTATAGCACCTCTACTTATGCCTCCGTCTACTAGAAGGTTGAAGAGAAAAATTCCTTTGGACTTGACATAACATAGTGAGCTGTTCATTGAAACAGTTTCATGAATTAATTAGTTTATATTATAATTTTACCTTTAGTTTTAATTATGTCATGAGTTGTAATTATTATTATTATTTTTTCTTTCTCTTTTTATTTAAATTTATTATATATTATTTTAAATATATCAGCTCTGTAACTCATAGAGTCATTCTGACTCTGATTGCTATAATTAATAAAATAAAAAAAATAAAATAAAAAAACTAATCATAGTGACGCAAAAATCCAAAATCGTTTTGACCTTCAGAATGATTGTTTACTTCTACTTAGGCAATAAATCGGCATCAAATATGCATTGTAAATAAAAATGAGCAATAGAGATTTACGACTTGTAACCTCTATAGAATAGTGAAGATTTGAAAAACATTGAGTCAACGTATCTCTCCGCTTATTATTTATATCCATTTGTTTTTTCAGTATCAATACATTTTCCTATGATGAAACTGCCATTGAGGGTAATTGATGTGAAACATATCGCGCGAGATTAAATGTCAGGATTGTTTCGAACTACAATAATAACAGTTTATATCAATTTATCACAAACCGTCAACGTCATCCCATTATTCAATGTTACATCTGCGGTCTGTGATATAACTGTTGCAGAACAAAAGCTAGTAAACAACAGAAACGCTCAAAAAGAACATCAATTTTAGTCAGTTAGCTGGTGACCATAAGTGGATAAAATAATTAAAACTGACAATGATAAAAATAAGATAATTTTATATTTATTACATTATTTTCATTTATAACTGAAAAATCAAAATATTTAAATATAATTACATGTTACGACTCTTGCGGTTTTGGATGATTACCCAATGTAGCGGAATCTATTTGCAACTGGCGCATATACTAGAACCTTCTTGGAAGTTCTAAATTTAAAGGACTTGAAACTTTAATAATTTAATCTCATTCTCTATATTTGATAAGATTATTAAAATATAAAAATGATTGTCACATAGACTTTTCAAATACAGAAATAGCAGTAAATTTAACATTGCAATAAATGATATCCTCCTAGTGTTTAGCAATTGCAACTTATGTTTAGATAGGAAAGAATACTTTGTATTTATTTTGTAAAGTTCTATAACAAACTCTACGTTCATACATCCAGAGCAAAACTACATCTAACTACAAAAGTCACTCTATAATTTCATATGAGACCGCGGCACCAGATAATTCTATTATGCTATAAAAGTTCATGCAGAATCAAAGCAAATCGCTTTGGATGGCTTCGTTCTTTTATGAGGAATAATGAAAGAATATTATTTTATAGGTTTGAATTATATTTGATAGAGATATTCACGTCACATATTACTTCTGAATCAGAAGAGACGGGTTTGATACTCGCTTTGGGCAGAGTGATGTCAAGCAGTTGTGACATTTAAAAATGTAAATAGCAATACGTCACCAAGCGAAACCAGCCCATAACCAACATTGATTTTTTTTAATTTATTTGAACAGCGATCAGAACTTGAGAGTTCTATGAGCTGTTGTGATTAATATCTTACAAATTACGTTTGTTTTTATTATAGATGGCAACCCAAACAGTTGTCTCATTTCTATGTGCTGAATTTTTATTATTACAATTTCTGTAATAGGGTGAGTATTTTTAATGGTGCAGCAATGTACCTGACATTGCTGAATTCATGAAGTCATCATTCATCACTACTACAAAAATTGTAGTAATGAAATTAAACACATAGAGTTGGGACAACTGTTTGCGTTGCCATCTATTATAATGCTACGTAGTTAGTAGTTCATCACAATAGCTCATGAAACTCACAAATTCTGATCTGATCTGTTCAAATAAATAATTTAAAAAAAAAGATATTACTTTGGAGATTTTAGCTGAAACTTCTTGAAAATATTTAGAATGCGTATTCATAATCTGTTTACAAACTACGTCTTATCATTGGTTTATTGACAAATAGCTGCTTTAATCAGCACACACTTTAATTGGAAACATGTTGCCATTTATCACAACAATTAAATTTTCATCAGCAAAAAAAATGTTTCTTACCTTGCCATCAAGCAAAGCGTTCTCGGGCAGTCCCTCGCCGATATACTCCACATTATTAGCCTGCGAGGCATAGTTGGATTGAGAACGTGCGACTTCAATTCCACAGAACAGCAGAAGGAAGGCTGTATTCCAAACGGCTGCGGATTTTGACATCTGAAATGAATTAGTGTCCATTAAATCTCTGCAATAATTAAACATGATTTCGAGGATTAATATCATGCAAAAGTCTATTCACACATTTGTGAGTGTTAATCAGGTCGTGCAGATGCCGCAAATGACTGCCTATTTTGCCAAATTGCATTAATTAATTCAATACGCTATATGTAATATTCATATGTAAATACGTGTCCATATGTTAAACGCTAAGGTCTTTGAAAATACTTTACTGATTTTTTTTTATTATTTTGTATGAGATTAAATCGATTTCGATCAGTTAGTTGATATGTTATTTGAGTTAAAATCTTTTTTTCGATTTATTAAGATTTCAAATATTTCTAAAGATTATTTTTTTATATTAAAATATATTTAACGGTTTATTAAACTGTAATTATTCTATTTCTTCTAATTAAGTTAATTAAACTAATAAAAATTAGTTTTATGCTAGACATTATTAAGTTGGTGTGATGAATATAATTCCAATTGTGTTAAGATATTTACTACATACTGTTCGACTATTCGGTGGTTGTTTAAATATATAGAAGAAAAAAAAAAACGCAAGGAAAATGTTCTATGCGCTATAATTGGGATTCGTTAAGTCGTACATATTTTTGCCATTTTTTGAAGAATGTCGATATGTTTTTGTATTAGAACATAATCTAACTCTTTATTTTCAAACAATCAGAGCAGCATTGATCAGAAGATACTTTAATAAAAAACTAGTTATATAATTCTATAAAAGTGGTACGTTTTTTCAATTATTTTTGCATAAATCTTGTATGTGTCTTTATTGTTCCGATTATACATTATTAGAAATGATTTTTTTTGTATATTAATCTTGGTTGGCAAACTTTATCAAGTGTTTGGCTAACTTCCAGGAAAACGTTACCATATTATCCCTGAAAGCATTTCGAAGAGTATTTATGACTTATTCACTTCTTTCATTGTTGCATGTTTAAGTCTAAACGCAAAATGTTGAATATGAATTAGTCTTGGTTGCATTGTCATTAAATTTATGTAATAGAATTTTTTCAAAAAGTTAGGCATTTATAAGTATATTGGTCCATTTGGTAATATCTCCTGTTAGTAGGTACTAATGTAAATTAATTAGCTATCTATCTATAAATATTAGCCATAATATACTTTTCATTCAATTTTTATTGTTTATAGTTATATTTGTATAACTATAATATGTTAAATTTGTACAGACCAGAATTTTTCTAACCATAAGGCTCCACTTCTCAAGAGTAATTACTTAGAATTTTTATACTAAAAGTTAATTTTTATACAATTGGTTATAATTAGGGTTTGTCAGTTTTCAAAAACCAGTTTTAAAAACCGGTTATTTCGTAAAAATTATGAAATTCGAAAACTGTTTTTTTAGTGAAAAAAGTCGGTTTTCACTGCATAGATGGAAAATGACAATTATAGCCAAATATAAAAGATAGATGAAAGCGTTTTGATTCTTGAAATCATACCGGTTCAATCGCATTTGATATCTTGTCAGTCTGCAATGGTTCCCAGAAAGCTTTTGTATATATTTAGATTTTTATACCAGTGTATATATTAATTTAAATCAGTGTGACTTATTCTTGAAGAAGTAACTTTCTCTACTAAAACTTAAAAAAAAAGTTTTAAACGCTAGAAGCTACAAATATAAGAACAAAAAATTTAGAATTATTATATCAGGCTTTAAAAATAATGAAGCATAATTTGGTCGCAAGTATGAGAGTATTTTCTATTTCAGAAAATTTTGTGAGTGAACAAAGGACACGTCTAAGTAGCAATTCGAGAGACGTTTTCTCAGTTCTCTGAAATCATATTTTATTAAACAAAAAAACAATTAGATTTTTTAAAATTAATTAATTAAAATCGCTCGGAACAAACAATATCCGAGATTAGCCTAATTGTTTTTAAAACTAAAATTGATATTAACAAGTTAGTATCGATATGTATCTAATGTTTTTTTAATTTTTTTTAATTTGATGAATGTTTTTTATTTAAAAATGCATTATTTTTATTTATTCAATAACTTTCCTTTCACTATCATAAAAATATTTTCATTCTTATATGTAAAAATGATGCATGAATAACGAATAATTGTTCATCAAAGTTATTTAATCAAGATAAACTATTATTTTTTAGTTCTACTAATTAAAATTAAAATAATTTTGTTTACTATCCATAAAATTGAACAATAAATAAATTTAGACAAATACTGCTCTAAGTCACACTAAATTTGCGGATAAATTATAGAATATTCGTGCAAACATTTATTTTCTATATAAAATTCGAAAACCGGCTAAAACCGGTTCTGAAATGTCGGTTTTTGAATAAACCCTAGATATAATGTATTGTTCCCTTACTCAATTCATAGCCATTCGAGCCATAGTTTGTCATCAGGTAGACCTGAAGATCATATTTTCGACTCTTTTATGATAAAACATTTTGTATTATTATATATTCTAATCATAAATTTGTAAGTGAATATTTAAACTTTTTTAACTCTACCATCGCTGAAAATGAATGATGTAATTTCAATTATCTTTAATTGGAATTTCATTTTGAATCGGTCGACCCCGCAATGTGTTAAAATCGGAATGTGGCATTTTGAAACTGACATTTCGTAACAAGTTGTTTTTGACCATTAGGCGGTTGTACTCCAAATAAGCCTCGATCATTAAATCAAGGTATCCCACGCGCGCGCTTATTCTTATTAGCGCGCCGCTGCCGAGTTTGGCTGCAGAGCACGGCCGCTTTGGTAATATCTTTTCCACAAAGAAATCGAAAGTGGTCGCCGAACATGCATTACGCAAAATAATGATAACCCTATATATCACATGCGAAATGACTGATAATCAAAGAGCTGGGGAGTTTTAAAGTATACCTTAGGCTTTCTGGGAATCGAGCTTTTGTAAGTAAAATTGCGATTGTCGAGTTGTGAGTGACGGAAAATTGTTGAATGAAATACATATGAAATTGTTATAAGAAAGTATCAAAATTATATAATAATAATCCGAAAATTTGGTATCCTTGCCATTTTATATGTTTAGTTCAGTACATAGCTAATTGAAAGTAAACTAGTGGGGTGGGTGGCATCGTACCTTAAGGCAAATTGCTGGAACTTCTCGTACCGTAACGAAATATTCGAGGAATATTGAATGTTTTCCAACAGATTATTATAAATATTGTAACATTGTCTAATATTTATAAGAATTATATAAACTGAATTGCAGAGTTGAAATTATTTGTTTAAAGTATATTAGAACTATAGTCAGAATTAAAATAAAATCTGAATATTTTCGATATACCATAAAAAAAAAAAAAAAAAAAAAAAAAAAAAAAAAAAAAAAAAAAAAAAAATGGTACAAATTTTTTTTTCCCAAAATCAATTATTTTGTTAAGACAAGCAGAAAGTTCTTTGAATCAATTGAATCGGACGCTTATTTCTCTCAAAAACTGCCATTTTTTGTACATTTAGCTCTGTATCTCCCGAAATGGCTGGGCCTGCCTTTGCGAAAAACTGATAACCCCTTCTCCCAATCATTACTAATTGAATGTTTTTAGATCATTCAAATCGGATGCTCCGTTCTCTCAAAAACTCGATTTCTATTTTCTGCACTCTTTGCTCCTTATCTCCGTAACTGCTGGACCTGCCTTTGCCAAAAACTAATCAGCTCTTCTCCTTATTAATAGTAATCGAATGTTTTTTAAACCATTCAAATCGGTTGATCCGTACGCCCGAAAACGTGGGCGAAAATTTGTATCCATACATACATACACACACACACACACACACACACACACACACACATCCATTTTTTCTGAAGTATGCCAAAATGTTCAGAAACCTTCAAAACGTCGAGAAATGTAAAAATTTTCAATTCCGATTTTCGGCCCATTACAATAACTCACCCTACGGGAAGTTAATAACTAGTAAATGTTTATTCTCGTACCTCGTGATCATGTAGTTAATTTATGTTTGAAAACTATCAAACCTATCTATAGATTTGATTTCACTAAACAAATTTTTTCAGTATAATCTGGACCTACGGAATTGAGCTCTGGGGATGTGCTTACAAATCTAATATAGCTATAATACAGAGAACTCAGTCAAAAATTTTACGTACAATTCTTAATTGGTACGTAACAAATGAAACCATTCACAGCGACCTCAAGATAAAATCGGTGCATTTAACTTTCCAAGAATTCAAGGAAAAATACAAACGCAAACTGGACTCACATTCGAACCCATCTATAGTTGAAATTACTAAACCTTATGGTACAAGGAGATTGAAACGACAATGGCCTTTAGACTTAGTCTTAGATTAGGTCTAATATAATATTATTATAGTAATTGTTAAACTGAGAAGATCTCATTAGAGCTCTTCTTAGGCATCGCTCTTACATTGTCATTTTAGCTCATAGGAATCTTTATGTATTTCTGATTGCTAAATAAAACGAGTTAAAAAAAAAAAAAAAAAAAAGAAATTTCATTTGTAGAATATGATAATATTGACATAGGGGTAAGTCCCCGAGTGCCGGACACCTAAGGTTATTTATAAATAAATCAAAAAATATTTTACGAAATGTTTATTGAATTATGATTTATGTTAGATAACAAAGTTACTAATTAAACTAAATTAACAAAACCGCAACCTTTGCTAAAAATAATTAATCAAACTTTGGTAACAAAAATTTATATTTTAAAATTTAAAGATTTATACTCGCTTAAATAATACGTGTTAAATAGAGTGCCCGGTTCTAGATGCCGTCCGGCACTACGGGACTTCCCTTTAACACAAAAATAATTTTTCATGGTATTTATTATTCAATTTGTAGCTTCTACTTTTTCACTCGAACAGCATTGCGTTCGATAGTGCTTTCATCATTTCATAAATGATATTAGAAAATTAGACATGACTCAATTCTTTGTTTATTATTCTAATTATTAAATATAATTATTAGATAACATTCAATAATTATTCTTGTTTTCGAAATGATCTTTAGATCTAACAAAACATAATTCAGATTGGCATTCA